CATCCGGACCCGCTGACTTGAACGCGTCCAGCCCCTCCAGAAGCTCTCTAACCCGGTCCTCCCCAACCTGAGGTCTGAAGGCAATCCCCTCGAGTCCGGCTTCTATCACAGCAGGGAAGTCCCGGTCCCTGCACAAGAAAACGGAGGTGAAGAATTGGTTAAAGATTCATCCGGTAGGAAATGGCTGCAATGGAGAACTGCTGCAAACGAATGGATTTAGCAGGCTGGATAAGAGCAGGGCCATCCTTGCTCCCCTGGGCAGCTGTGGTTCGGCTTTAATTATTGATGGCACATCCTAATGGACTAATGAGCAGCTGGGAGAAGATGGATCAGGAGCAAGGGGACCCTGGCTTCTGATCCAGATACTGCCAAATGGTCAGGAGTGATGGCCAGTGCTAGTGAAGTGCAGATGGGTGGGAGTGCTCTGAGGGGCAGCAAGTGAAGTCTCTGCTCTGTTTCCCACTGCAAGTCCCCGGTCTGCTGGGGTCTGCCTCATGGCTCAGAGCGCTCCATTAGCGAGAGGCCTGGCATAGATCCTTTGGGTTTCTGCCGCCCCTCCAGCCTGAGCAGCATGCCCTGAGCACTCAACTGGTTTAGGGAGAGCTGTTTTGTACTCTCTGAATGATTGCATGCTCCTTCCCAAACTGATGCCCCACAATGCACTTGGCGCCTGCCTCTGCCAGCCAGCCAGGTCCCCTTAATCAAAGTTCAGCTGACCGTCTGTTTCCGCTCATTACAGGGGAAATGCAGCACGTCTCTCCCTTTCTCTTTGCCTCCTGCTACTTCAGATTAAATTGCAGGTGACATTCAGGGCCACGCATCTGTTTTTGAATATCATTTTCCCTCCGTTATTTATTACACCTGCGATAATCGGGGAGGGGAGACACTGATAAGCTCTTCTAAGGAGGAGGGAAGGTGAACCAGGGCTTCTGCAGCCTTTTCACCACGCAGGGCGGGGGCTGGGGCCGGAGCCTCCTGCCTCTTTCTAAACGCCTGCTTAGGTAATCGAAAAAGATAGCATTCTCTTAAAACTAGACACAATTTAGAAGTGCCTCTGATTACTTAATTTGCTCCTGAGTATCTCAGTAATTATCTTTATGGGTCTGATTTCTGTCCTCTGGCATTGTTTCTGTCGATATTAAATGAGTCTGGCTCTCTGCACGGCGGCCGTCTGGCCCGGCACCACTGTGAAATCCTATTATCCTGCCTGCTCCCCTGATTAATTTTTGTATTAATTTCACGTAAAAGGTGAGCTGACTCCTTTCCCTGCCTGGGCTGGGAGCAGCAGGCTTTGCTGGAGGCTTTGGACCCTGTGCCCTGCCCTCCTGGCTCTGCCCCTGGCCTGGCCACTGGCCTCCCTCTCTTCTGCTAATTAATTACTTGTGCTGCTTTCCTGGTGCCTTCAGAAAGTGATGTTTGCACGCATGCTCCAGGGTGGCTGAACTGGAGAGGAGCATGGGAGCAAGATGCCCTTATAGCCAAGCTGTGATGGGGTCACTCTGAACAGCTGTGCTTCAGGGTGCCAGGTTTGGATGGTACCCACAATAACACTCAAGGGTAGCCAGCAAAAGGGGTTTGGGCTGTCTGGTGGCTATGGCATGGTTCCTGGTGCGAGCCCAGCATCCAGGTGAGGTGAAGCTCCCTCCTTGCCTTTCTCTGCAGGAAGCGCTTGCCTGCCACAGCTGCTTTAATCTGGGTTCCCCCCACTCCCTTACTG